GGAATATTTCATGTCATTACACACATGAAACATATCATCAACACAACTCGTATAAAATGTCATTTCGTATATTGCTTGTTCCAAACTATTTAATGTACTCCATGAAAATATAAACCAAGATGGCACGTGTGCATCAGCAGTCAAGATTGGAAAACCTGTCGGCTACACAAGCGGTGCAATTAAGATTCTCGGTGAGCTCACTCCTGAGCCTCATCTAGGCGGTGTTAGGCCTGCGGAAGAAGGGTGGCTACCAAGCCTACCACGTGAAAACGACGCAAGTGCTAATGTAACGTCAGGGCCTAAAACCTAAAGACTGGTGTTCCATCCAGAATACGAAGCAGTGAAAGAAATTTGGGGCCTGATGTACTGTCAATTGTAATTCCGTCAGTCTCGAAAACCATGATTATGTTCAAATTGAAAGGCAGGTTCTTCGCCCACACTAGCTAAGCGCAGAGAAATAAGCTGTATTTTATGCAAGTTTTGCAAGGCCGAATCAAACTGGAGAGAATCAAACACGCCCTCGGTGAAAAACTTCGACCGGAACAGACTGGATTCAGGAGGAACAGGTCATGTATCGACCCAATCGCAACACTACGTATCATGATTGAACAGAGCTTGGAATGGCAGTCAGTCAGCCCTCTACCTCAAATTCATCAACTTTGTAAAGGCCTTCGACAGCATCGATTGACAGGTGATTTGACAACTACTTCGCTACTACGGCGTGCCGCCAACAATTATATATTTCATCCAACAGTTGTACGACAATGCTGCATGCCAAGTAATCCACAACGGGAAACTCATGGAATCCTTCAAAATGAAGACGGGAGTGAGACAAGGCTGCCTACTATCTCCAATGATTTTGCTGATTGCAGGAGACTGAATAATGCGACAGACAGGCATAAAATGGACCCACCCAAAAACCTGGAGGGTCTGGACTTCGTCGATGATATTTGTCTGACTTCCCACAAACTGGAAGATGTGCAAGTGAAAAGCAACAAGTTGGCAGAAGAAGCATCAAAGATAGGCCTCCAAGTGAACATAGAGAAAACAGAGGTGATGGTAATTCCTGGCCAACAGCAACAGCAACAACAACAGTCAAAAATCAGTATAAATGGGCGAAATCTGAGAGAGGCAACCTCCTTTACCTACCTGCTTGGGAAGCATCGTTTCAACTACAGGCGGAACTGAAGAGGATATCAAAGCAGCGAGGATCGAGAAAGCAAGGCAAGCTTTCATTTCTCTGAAGTCTGTGTGGAGGTCAACAGCACTCAGAATGAAAAGTAAGATCCATATTTTCAACCCCAATGTGAAGTCAGTGTTACTTTATGGATCAGAGACTTGGCGCGTCATGAGGAGCACCTCCAACAAACTACATACCTTCATCAACAGCTGTCTTCGCTTAATACTTCGCTCAAGATCAGATGGCCAGAGAAGATCGGCCACAAAGAGGGAGCGAACCAACCAGGAACCGATTGTGCAACAAATAAGCAGGAAGAAATGGAGGTGGATTGGCCATACTCTGAGAAAACCATCAAGTGACATCAAATGACAGGCCATTGCTCGGGAGGAACCAGAACGGGAAACGGAGAGTTGGCCGTCAGTGCGAGGGTGACATGGAGGAGGTCATGTAAAGAGGAAATGAAAGCATGTGGGCAGACGTGGAGCCAGGTGAAAACGTTGGCAGAGAACCAGACGCAATGGAGATGTATGTTTGAAGCCCTATGTTCCTCTAGGAACTAAAGGAAACAATAATATAATAATAACCTCTATTTGGCCAAATTGGTAGATATTCCAGACCACGGAAAATGAAGTTAGTGAGGCAAAGACCAGTAAAGCTGGAGCCACTGGAGCAGCTGAATTGCTGGATGCCGGGAGATGTGGCTAACATTCCCACTTCGTCTTTTGTACTCGATAGCACAACTGGTGTGCAGCTAGGTATAGAATAACTCTGTTGTGTATAGTGTACTGAAAAACATTGTCGAAAGCCACTAGGTGCCGAATACTTCAAACATTAGAAGACAGAACAAATGATATCATACTATCCAACTGAATTTGTTTTCCTTACTTTGTTCATGGTCTGGATAGTTATTTCGTTTACCAATTGTAATTTGTTTCCACTCCTTAGCGTTTCAAGTGAAACATTGGGCATCTGGCTCTAAAGTTCGGTTAGTGGTGGTGTCTCCTTTTACAGCTTAGGGTAGGAAACCTCACTTGCAAACTCTTCTCTTTACTGAGCTTAGTACCAGCTAATTGAGGTCTAGAAGTGCGTCTACTGAGAATCAAACCTGGACTGCATTCTTGATTGGAGGGCATCCTACCAGTGGATCACTCTGAAATCAAATAGACCTGCGTAAATGTAACATCCTAATAAAAGTCCATTACCCATTAATAATTGTTTCTGAGATGTTCTAATGAGAAATCATAACTGGTGGGGTTCACCAAGTCCAGTCTGGAAGCAGGCGCTCACCGAATAAGTTACAAGACGGTCGTACTATTATTGTGAACTTCGAGAAGTTAGGATTCAAAATCTTCTCTTTATCAGTCCAGCAGGTAGATGACCAATGTACTGATCTTGTAACTGAAGGTCTTGAACTCAATCTCTAGTGTAGTGGGTCGAACACACTGCCACAGAGTCCCTGATCAAGACGAATGCAACTATTATGTGTTCTTTGGTTTTCAAAGGTTCTATGAATAAAGTCAGTATACGGCAAAACTTACCATGTTAAAATGTTACCTTTTTAGTGTTGAACAATTCTTTCTACATACACGAAAAAGGTGATGTATGCTTAGTAAAATCACGTTCGTTTAATGATTCCTTCAACAGAATAGAAAAAAAAAAGAAAAGATATTTATCATATTTAACAAGAATGTTAAATGTGCACTTTCTGCTGCATATAATATTTGTAGCTCAATATTTGTCCAAAACTTGTGAAAATATTCTTCTGGTTTAGATTTTCGCGTACCTTACGATTTCTGGGTTTTCGAAGTCACCATTTGGTAGTAGATTTGAAATTTTATGCTTTACGGTGAACTGATGGTAGATCTACGATAGAAAGCATGTTTGTCTTGAGACACGAAACACTTGAAATCAATTTTTCATGGAAAATAGGTTGAGCGAAACACTATTTATCATATTATATATATATATATTCACATTCTATTTTTATGCAGGAACAAGACTGTTTTTAACTACTGAAGCGGTTACTACCATGCAGTCCATGGAGAACAAAACAACAGGACGCGTGTTGGCACAACGTATTTTGAATACCTATGATCAAAAACTAATTTGTCACACAAATTCTTGTTAACAGAACACAAAAGATTAGGACTGAAGCAATAGGAGGTGGAAATGACAGACAATAGAGAAACCAGAAGACGAAATTAATAGATGTACAACCCTTTGGATTACTAAGGGAGATTCAATTTAATGGCAAACACTTTGCGAACACATAATAATGGTGGTATGGCAGGCACCACACTTCAAAATTTGCTAAAGTTGCTGACAGTAATACTGGGATTTGGAATCAGTGCTGAATGCAGTAGGCAACTCAACTGAAGACCAAATACGACTGTCCCTTCTCAAATAGCTGCTGCCACCATCAGGTAATCATAACACATCTGAATTGCCGGTGACACTGTAAACTGCACAAGCAGTATTCAGCCAGAGACTTAGACTAGACAATATGACAGTGGTTGCACGCCGTCACAAATCAAAGAATCCACCTTATGGCGAAAATTCTGTCTCGATTGCTTTATTTAACTTCAGCTTTCGCTATAAAGAATTCTGATATTATGGTCTTTAAATTGTTTCCGATATTTGTGAGTAATGACAGCAGCTTGAGATTATCGTGCTATCCCTAGAAGCCTAGCACTCATATCGTTTTGCAATTGACAGACATAGGTCAAATCTATCAATCAATGAGGAATAAGCTAGGCGTTCAAAAGGCCAAATGTCAGGGTAACAATACGAATAACTCCAATGAAGATGAATACAATAATGAAGAATACTGTGTGGACAAACATTCACAGTCGAGATCATCAGGGAAGATGGTTGATTCATGCCAGTGTAGTTCTGTAAGCACAATTCATTTTGAATTTACTGGTGAAGGCTTTGTCTGAAAGGACAGTGGTAGCCAAGATTATGCAACAACACCAAGACACAAAACTGTTGATGGGAATCTTTAAATGAAGTATTTGCTTTAAGAAAATTAGTAATTCCCACTGGGAGCAGAGGAATTAAGCGGCTTTGTTTTTACAGCAACTGCTATTGGATCGAAACACTTTTAAATTACAACAGATGTTTGAGATAATCTTATCCCAAAACTTGAATTGAATATGTCTTTCGACAATGGCTGATGGATTTTGATTGCTTTCATTATGGTGGGTGGCATAACAAAAGGATCTCATCTAGTCATTGGCTTGTAACATAAAACAAAGACTGCATCAGTTTCATGCAGTACATTTCCTCTCACAAGAGTGAATCAGTTGTTGTGCAAGGACTGTTGAAGAGCTGTAAAACAGATGGAAACAGTTTGCATTCAGTCTAACTTTCAGTAATCTTTCATATGATATACGCTGACCGTCGATACTAATCGACAGTTACGCTAAAGAAGTAGCAGATGAATCAGCCTGATCAACAATCGCATCATTAAAAGAAGGTTAAAAGGGACACGAAACAGACCGAACATTGATAATTGAATTCTAGCTAGACATAGTGAAAAATGCTCATGATCAGTGAAGTCACACTTATTCTAAAACGTGCGTCGCTTCAGGGATTCACAAGGAATAAATCATGAACTGATGAATAAATCCTCATGAATATCTTCCGTTTAAGCGAAAACACACAAATTTCAGCATCACATTGAATCCGGTAATGAAAGATCAACCAATGAATCCAAACTCAATGGGAAACCAATCATATTTCAATCCATACCGCCCAATCAAAATTCCTAAAGATAACATGTAACAAACATTAATGCTATTGGCTTACAATCAAACCAAAGGATACTACGGAATCACACATAATATACTGAAATCACTGGCATATAGCTAGTAGAACTGTGATAATCATGTGGAATAAAATACTCTATTTAAAATCGAACTCGAGATTATCCTGATTACACCTCATCATGAGTGGACACTCACGGAATATTATGCCATCTGATTCACCAATGCAGAGTCAATCTCACATCTGTGCTGGTGTAAACGAAGAGGAGTATATCTCATTCACACAGTCAACCATCTCAGCCGTCGTCCTCAGTCTGATATGTCTATTCGGTGTCATTGGAAATAGTTTAGTTATCATTGTTTACTGTGTAAAACCGAAGCATCAAACTGGTCGTCTGTTCAAAAAATACAACAATGTGAACAGCAACTCCAATCACAAGGTGAACAACATCCCGACCACCACCACAACTACCACCACCACCAACAACAACACAAACGCAGACAATAACCACACTCAGGATATTTCGACTCCAGAAAAGCCTACTGCAGGAATTCATGTGAACAAAATGACAAGACCAACCAATTCCACAGTCAAGCCACTCTCACAAAAACTGCTAAGACGTCAAGACGCCTTCAGTCAACAGAATCTAATTCTGCTACTTGCATTCGTCGACTTGTTAACATGCGTCTTGATTCTCCCATGGGATATATACCGTGTGGTGAACTTCGCCTCCACTGGAAATAACATACCTCTGTCAGTGACTCTTCCAAATTACTATCCGACGGAATCACGAGCAAATGTCGGAAACATTCACATCGCGAATGCTTCAAGCAGCAGTAGTTTTTATTTCAATTATGAACTAGACGCTATACTCACACTATTACGGAATATAGTGTTCGCTTGTGAAGGCAGTCTGTTGGCTGCTATAGCATTTGAAAGATACATGATTCTAGTTGAGCCGGATATTTGCAATTCCAGATGTTGTTATGCCTCTGGTAATCGTGCAGGGAGGATGAGTGAGAGTAATCGGAAAGTGGTCAACACCGGTTCGATTCGATTTAATTTCACCAAAAATAGTCCATCTGTTCAGAAGGATTCGTCGGTAGCAACCATAGACTCCATCTACGCAACACAACTGCCTGGTGTCTGTGATGCAGCCAGTGTGGGAGAGACATCGTCGATGAAACAACTGAATAAAAGCAAGTCGAACAACGGGAAATACAAAGGAGTCGTGGTGTGTAAGCCGAATATGTGTATAATGTCGATATTGATCAGTGTCACTGTGGGAACCTGTCTACTCGAATGCATTTTGATCGTATTACATTTCACTCAATCGGACTGTCGACTCACTGACAAATTACGTGAACTTGTCAATCAGATCTACATTCTGTGTACATTCCTATCGTTCTTCATTGTCACTTATTTGTATGTGAGAATATTTATGATGGTGAGAGAGAATGATCTACGCAGGCAGAAGTGGTCAGTACAGAGGAGTACTTTCAGCACCTCTTTGAAGATTATCAATGAGTCGAATCCGCTCTCACAGTCTTTGGACAACAACAGTGAGACGGAGACAGTGGTGAGAATGGCTGATGAGACTGAATCGAATGCGTCGATTGTCAATGGCAATTCATGTAAATGCAAATGCCCTCAACAGATTCAGTCAACAAGATCCCGATTACCGATTAGATTCACGAAGCAAGTGAGTTGTGACCAAGTTGTGACGACAAGTCATGACTGTTATCAGCGAGAGGCGCAGGATTTTCCAATGTCACCGTTGAAGAGACACAGGATATTGAGAACGCCCTCCATGTCGGCGATATTTCATCGTCGAAGAGTGAGACAACACGATAAGATGTCGACAGCTTCGATGGGTGTGTCAGTGAGAAGTGATGACCGAGCGTCGGAGAACGATCTTCCTGTGGATGCGGGACGACTCGGTAACTCTCAGGCTACACGGAAGTCGCCACATCTGTTACCATTGAACAGGTTGATATCAAGGCGTGTGGTGCGCAGTCATCGCACAGGTTTGATGATATTCATTTCCACTGTAGTTTTCTATGCAACACTCTTCCCTGTTTTGTGGGTGCATTTTCGGTTCTGGTGGAAAGAGCCGACTATTGATTTGTCTGTAAATAACCTCAGTGTTATAAATGTCACCAGTCTTGTAGTTGGTGGTGGTGGTGACGGTGTTGGTCGCGGTTTTATCAGCGACAACTCGAGCGGTGCACAAATTGAAAGGACTCACCAAGGAAACAGTTTCATGACAGTTGTACACCACGAATTCTACTATGTGAACAATGCTGTGAATTTTTTCATCTATTCCCTATTCAATCAGAGTTTCCGTGCACGTCTCCGAATTCTGTTGGCGAAATACTGACACATGATGGATATTCTATATTCTGTATTCCACTCGTTCGGTTGACATATTGGCAACGACTGATTACTGATTGTGTTCATGTGAGATATTCAGATTGTCAAATATCGGTTAGTTGTCGTCCTTCTTCATATGAATGTTTTTATAATTTACTTCCATTGATATATATATATATATATTTATTATATATACTTATATACATGTCTATTGAATAAAGATCAGATTTTGTAATGAGTGTCGAGTTGTTGTCTGAGTAAAATAATATACCCGATTAGTTATGTTTGCCATCGTAAATGTAACTTGGCCCGTGGACTTGTAGAATTCGTTATACACGCTCGATGGGTATTTGTGTTATCAAATGATTTCTATATTCTTCTTCTTGTGGTATTTTGACACATCGATTTCACTCAGCATGTTTTGAAATCGATCACCTTTTCTGATCTTTTCATGGACTCAGGGGAAGCAGTGATAAGTAAATAAATAAATTTCGACTGAACTCTTCACCGGATTATTTCACACACTTGAATATGATCCATATATATGTATTTCTGTATCAGATAAACAGATGTGTGCACACGCACACACACACACATGAGAACAAAATAATCAGACTGATAACAAATAAAGGCTGATTGAAACATTAGTGAGAAATTATCATCACTGATGAACTACTCATCGTTGTGTGAGCACTCGTGGTATGTTTGTGATGTTTGAATCAGTGATGGAATCAGTGCTTAGATGTCTGTGTATAATTCGGTGAAACAGTGACGCTTGATTTGCTGACACACTTGAATTTACGGTATGAAAATGCTAATAGGAATGGAGTGTATTTGTATATGACTATTTAATCTCTGATTCGGATGTCGACTTTCGACCTAATTCAGTGATTTCTGACACATGACGTGTTAAAATGTATATCCACTGGTAAGCGCGAATGTCTGTTCTCGGAATTGACTCAGATGTTATCAATTAACACAGCTCATGTGTTTCCGACACAATAGGTGACCTCATGATCAGAACACGATTTTACTCAATGTTGTCGTGGTTATTCCACTGTGGAGATTCAAGCCTTTTATTAGTATTCCAGCTGATGTGGATATTTCCGAGGGTTTGGTAACCAGTTGGAATATCGATTGACATTTGGATCAAACTAGTTGTGGTGCGGAAAATCGAGACACCTACTGTACACAGAATGTAAAGTAGTATGAAATTCACCGGGAATAAATCTCCGAAAACAAGTGTCAGTTTTGATGAGTGTTTTTGTCATCGAATGAGCTTAGGGGAATCGGAAGTGAATTCGAAACCAGAATGCTCTTCAGCATCTCAGTTAGGAGAGAATACAGTCACTTGCTTCTGAACGATAGAAGGTGATGAATGCATTCACAGACTAGATTTGTATACTCAAGTGCATCCTCATAAACTGATGTGTTAATTACAGAAATAACCTGAGTTTCCAAAGAATAGTAATGACACCTTGTTCGATGTGATTAAATTATCTGTGATTAGCTGATTGATGTAAACTGATCATGACACACACCACAGGAATGTTTATTGTGTATTGTCTGTAAGTTTCGCAAAGTTGAGAAAGCGTTTGAGGTATTTGTGAGATAACCTCACCTTGGATGAGGCGATAGACTAGTGAGCTGAATAAATTGTGGATGGTGTAGACGTAGGACAGGAATGAGTCGCTCAGATAACTCACCGTCAGTCTCATAGTCAACAATCTACGAAAACCTCAATCTCTTCTCTTCTCTCCTACTGAAAATTATTCTGTATCCTCATTCACTTTGTTAACATCTGTCCTCTTTCACCTATTATTATTATTACAGGTTATGCATCTCTTTGGTTCATCAGAATAGCTCAGTGTACACTTGGTGTCCAACCACCGATTATCTTGTTCACACCACGGCTGTTGTGTTGAATTATTTCATATGACCTACGATGGCGTTAGATTCAGGTTTATTTCTGGGATGTTTGACAATTGGAAATTCTCACCCCATTTGAAATATTAGAGTAGTGAATAACCTGCGTGTAAATGGTTGTCGATTGACTTGTGTTGTTGAACATTAGCTTTCTCATTGAGTCACCTTCGACTTAGTAGAAAAGAGCTTGGAGCAGATTTGTTTAATTTATTTCAAGTGGGAAACTTCATATGAAACGACATATTTGTTGTCAGTTGATTCTCAGATGTTCCAATATTCCAGTCCCTTGTGAGTTTCATGATTCGACACATTGTTCTATCATTGTTTCTCAGTAGACAGAAAGCGAGAAATTACCATAAAATGTCATGTGACAGGAATAATAATTAATTATGTAATGATGAATATGTCATGGATGCACTTCATGTCCCCTATCTGTGTCAAGCAAACGTGTCGACCACATAATTCAGTGTTTTATCAAAGAAACATTATCTGACCATGTGCTTAATAGATGTGGTTGTCACATTTGTGCTGGGCGCCAACATCTGCAAGTGAATATTGTGTTGCCTCCCGATAGAGTTAGTTGATTCGTATAGTGTAGTTGAGAGTCGTGTGGTGTTCATGTTCATTCCTATATCTGTAGCCGAATGCATTTACTGTACAAGACTTCTTTGTCTTTGGTTAAGACGATCGAATCGATGTACTGATGCTCATCGATTTCTATGTCATTCAGACAACATCGCTGCAGAGTTATAAGTGGTTAGATATTCAAAATCCTCCAGAGACAATCACTCACGGCGATATGTGAGGAATCACATGGTATCAGAGTGTAGATTCTCTGCTTCTCTGATTATTTGTAAAGTTGGTTGTTGAAGATGATAATCACAAAATATGAACAAGTAAAGCTTTAAGGTGCTGTCAAGGAGACTACGGTTGAATATGAACTTACTACGCTCACATCTGGCGTGTGTTTCCCATTCCTGTCAATCGTTTTTAACCAGGAGCACTGTTATCTGAGATGCTTTTGTGGCTTTTGTTATTCGGTGTTTTCTTCTTCCAATTATTAGAACGAGAGATGGTGGTTTGAAATAGACGTGATGATAAGAGTTCTCTGTGTGTTTTTCTTTTGTATTTCATTGTTGTATGCATATTAGGAAATGCATCTACTCAGTTCCGAAGGTTGTTTAATGACGGAAAATTCGTTTCATTAATTTATTACATTTTTATTTCACATCGTGTTATTTATTGGCTTCTCTCTGGATCTGTGTATTCCATGATGTAGGAAGATAAGCGTATATATATATAGATGTATAAGTCTGGTGCTCTGGTGTTTACATAGTTTAGATTAGATGTTTCGTGTTGTTGTTGTTATTATAATGTTTATCAATCAGGATATATGCAGAAAATAATTCTTGAATTTTACATATCCCACTTCTTTACGCATGTTTTACTCGCATTGTTTGAATGAATATTTCATGAGATTTACAGAATGTCGTGTGATGGCATTTCTCATCTTATACTCTTTTAAACTTGGAGGAAAATGTGTTTCGTTGGTTTTAATTACTTGAATTAGTTCCTAAGGGAATCACAAGAGAATCTTTTTGAAATGGCATAGGAAGACGATTTAAGGTATGGATTGGTGCCTCTTTTTATTACCGTCAAACTCATTACAAGATTGAGTATTCCAGAGACCCCTGTGTTGCATACGAATATTATCTAACTTGAATTAGGGCGCTATTCAACTATAATCAAAGATGTGTTAAATAGTGGCAGTAAAGCCAGATATCTACAAACACTTAGCCGACATAAATTCCACGAACTATATTTATGGAGTTCGAAGAAAGTAGTAGGAACAAGCATCCTTTGAATTTTCAACTTCTTTCTTTGCAAATAAAACTTCCGCTTGAAGCGCTACACATTGGGGGGACGAGTCTCAAATACAATGAAACGCTCATCCTCAATTTGACTACTGCCTAACATCAACCTCACGTTGGCAGTTCACTACAAATCAAAGAGAAGTCTAGTTATTCCTCATGAAGTAATTTTATAGTAAACTTGACTAGATGGAGGATGTTCATCAAATATCAAAAGAACTGTCTTTCTTATTCTGTGCTACACAACCACTGTTTGAGTTACTATAATCTATCACTGATACACGAGCCATATGCTTTAAGGAAGCTGACCGACAGAAAGAATGCTGATCCCTCTTGAGGACAAAACTAACTACCTCACTATCATAAAAGCTACTCCTCAGACAATTAGTGTAGACAAACGTCTTCATTGTATACACTGCTGAATATCTTGAGTAGTTAGAGATGTTTTTGAAAATTTAGACGGTTCATTTTAGTTAGATTTAGTCTGTTTAAGGAGAGGTGAGCGGTTCTTCTAATACACCATTGTTGAGATTCGTGTATAAATGTGCCTTTAGCATACATTTTATATTGTAGGTTATATTTTTCTCCCCTTCATTGCCAACGAAACTCTATTAAGAATATTCACTTGTTTGTCAGGTGATGCAAAATATTTAACGAATTCTGATAGTTTGCATTCACTGAGTCAGTGGTTCATTTGTAGAATGCTCACTGACCTTCTGGGTTTGACTCCTAATTGACACACTCCTAAGCCTCACCTAATTTACTAATTACTAGTAAGGCTTGAGAAAAGAGGAAACGTTAGCCAGAAATGTTGGCAAGAAATTTCACCGACTGAAAACTTGAAAGGCATCAGGCCTTACTAATGTAACTGTAGATATTGGCCACTATGGTATATTCTAATTCCATATTAGATAAGTTTATTTTAATGGTCACACAGTGATGCAGTATAAACTATATTTTTATTTCATATCGTGTTATTTATTGACTTATGTTTGGTGCTTTAGTGTTTATATGATTTGGAATATCTCACTGGATTGTACAAACAAGTGACTGTTCTTAATGGTAATAATTATAGTTATTCTTCAATACTCGAAGTCATGTTAATTTGAGTGATCTCAATCTGTCCAAGAATGCTCATATTTTAATTGTTTGTTCCTTTACGAATTCCCATGCTGATGTGTCCTTTTGTCCCGGGGAAAAGGGAAATTTTAGTCAGCTTTATGTTTTCTATGAATAAGACTGACACTGATGTATTTTAAAAGATTATCTTCGTTGAACTCAATAAAAATTCTGATTACGCTTCGATATAAACACGCTACCTTATTTATTGGCATGAATTTACTTTAGTACCTCATGGAAGTAGGT